GTTACAATTAAAGAATTCTCCAGAATTCAGGGATTTTTAGCCCCACTTGCCAGATATTCCCCAAGAATATAAATTGAAGTCCTCCCCCAACGTGCAAAGCTGTAGCCAACAGGGCAAAGCTGAGATGCTGTTACAGTCCTGATCTCTAATCGCCGGTCTCCTCTCTCACACTGACAGCAGACTTCAGTTTCTGAATTAATCTAGTTCTTACTCACTCCCCAGTTTGTCCCCATAACACACTGTTGTTCAACTATTTCATTTAAGGTCAATAAAACTGGATCCTGCTTGTTTCTCTCCCACAGGCACTATATCTGCCCCTAACCTCTCTGGATATATCAGGATCTTGGGATTCACATCTGAAACCAAAAATAACCTTTAGGGTGCAGGGGTCACCTTCCACAAGAGGTCTCTTGATCCTCTAGCTTTTTAAATTACATGGTCAACTTAGTTGGGTTCATGGTAGAAATATGAGTAAAGCTTGGGTATGCTGCGCTAAAGTTAGATCAGCAGCCTCTTTAATTGAGGTACTAAATACCAACAAGCCATCTTCCCATTCTTTTTCAGCTGGGAAGTGAGTGATTCACACCCAGAGGCTTCAGAGGGCCTCTAAAACCCCACACTTTTATCTCTCAACTGCCTTAGTTCCACCTAGGTCTAGTCAAAGGAAAATGGCCAAACATGCCAGAAATTTGGCAGTTTAGGGTATTTAGCAGGATCTTCCTCTACTTGGCCCAGCAAAGCAGCCCTGTCACAGGAGTGGCTGTCCAGAGAGAAGCCTATGGGCAAGTTCTGATAGAGAATGGTTTCAGTTCCTGAAGAATAAAAGTATTAACAGAGAGGGGGTAATGTGGAAACTCACAAGGGCACTCCCTGACGTGCTGTGCCTTTAACCAACAGCACCTTGCACTAAGGGGAGCCTCAGCAAGTTCCTTCCTGACACTGCTCTTAGTCATTCCGTACACAGATTCCTCCAGGGCTGTTTACATCAGCCTCCCTTCCAGCATGCAACAAAAATCACCAAGTTGTGAAGGTGTGAACTGGTTTCTAGGAACAGATTGTTACAGATAAGTCATATTGGAGCACAGCTTTCATAATAAGCCAAGAAAACCTTTGTTTTTAAGCACCCATCTGTACTCATACTCTGAATCTCTCCAGGAGTACATTCTTCAGTTCCTTGCACAGAAAACAGGCTGGACTCTGGGTTCCAGAGGCCTGATGCAGTGCCTCATGAGAAGCAGGCTGCAAGCACACTTACTGTGCCATCCAACACATTTTGCCTTTTTACAGGAGGAAAACCAACAGGGAAGTATTTTGGAAGACTGATTTAAGCAACTTAAAACCTAACAGACAGCTTGATTTGGACAGAGCAATAACTTCTATAAGTGATTTCACTCTTGGAATATCAAGTGAAGAAATTTCCCCTCCCCCCCCTTTTTTTTTTAATTTTGCAAGTCTCCTTTCCAAGGGCAAAGTCAGCAAAAATACTGTGAGGGACCCCACTGCAAACAGGGACTCACCACTCACACAAGATGCATGGCAGGGCACAGATCGGTGGTCATTAAAACTGGACTCTGTAGCAAGCTGATGGTGCATCTCAGAGCCACTCCCCCTGCTCATTTGTGCTACAGTGAACATGTGTGATAGAGCTGCTCACGCTACATTACAGAAGTGACCATCTGAGTAAATCCAGATCCCCCAGAGAAAGCAGAGAGCATTGTTAGGAGGTTTCTGTTAGCCCATTGTGGATCCCATGCCCAGATCACTACCACAAAATAAACAACTAAAGAATTCAAAGTTTATTCTTTAAAAAAGTTATTTAAGAAGCAAAATAATTTACTTCAATTCAAACCAAAAGAGATGCATTATTGAAAGCAAATAATTATACAAAGTAACAACAAATTAGCCCTTGGATAAAAAGTCCAGATCCCAACAGTTCCCTGCCATCCTGGAGGTTATACACAAACAGTCACCCAAGGCTTGGGGAGTAAAGGAGGACCACGTACAGGATCAGAATGTCATTCAAGCTTCCACGACTCTCCTTCCTCCCAGAGGCTGGAAGATGCTTGAAATCCAACTCTAAGTCATTGAACTCTACTACAAATTATGATGGCTTAAGCATCATGGTCACCATCCAAAGTCCTGCTGATGACAATAAGAACAAAATTTTAGCACTGTTTGAACAAGACCATGGAGTGTGGACACGAACAGCAACAAGCCACAGAGTTATACTCTCCTCAAACAGCTGTTCTCAGTCCACAAGAACAGAAATATTCCTTTCAGTTATTGGCACTTGTCATTTTTGAACTAGAGCTTTACCCTTTTTTAATATTTTACCTCAAAGTTGTTCATGCCTGTTCTACCCAGTCCAGATAGTGAAGTTAGCTTGGCACTAACACAGTGTGATTCTGTTAGTTCTCCATAACAACATTTGGACTAAATCTACAAAACCATCTTTTCCACGGACCAGTCTTGTGCAAAAACTTATGTGCTTATCTTCCAAATAGTTTTCCCAAAAGTTCTTGGGCTTTTGTCCTTCCACAGTTCTCTCTCAGTTGCCACCAAAATCGGAGTTCTCTAATATAGACATCTGGAAACAAAGTACAACCATTCACTCCACACTCGTGACTAGTACAGCATCCTTATCTTGTGTCACCTGCTAGATGTGAACCTGAAATAACAGAGATGGGGGTACCACTTGTGTAGGTCAGCTCTGCGGCATCCTAAAAGCTGATGCATCCTCCTCTAAGTTTCCAAAGGTGAAATACATCTGACCTATCCTTACCAAGTCTTCGCTTGCAAGATTTTTATACAGCCCAAGAGAAAGGGAACACTGAAGATGAAGCAGATGCATCTGCCAGCTCCCATACAAGTCTGAGAATTCACAACTTTTGGCGTTGCAGCTGGTACATTTTTAATGACTATTAGAACATGCCATGCTATTTAGAAAACTACTACGATGAACCTCCATCCAGAAGAAATAATATTCCATACTTGACTACACAATCTTCAAACACCAAATGCCCGCTGCCAAAGGTTTCCCATGGCCAGAGGCAGCAGGCAGTCAGGCTCTGAACTCTGCAATCCTGCTTGCAAGGAAAGAAACTCCTACGTTTCCCAAATAATCAAACAACATACAGAGACACGGATGACAAGATCTCACCCTTCAAACACCCTGCGAACTCCCCATCGCTGTCTTTGCAAGATGCTGAGGCTGTGTGACCAGATGTGTCATTTTCCATGTGTAATTTTATTAAGTGGACAAGAGCGTGTCACACACGTCTTTAGAAGCAGACAGACATCTCCTGCCACAGTGCTCGAAGAATGCTTTCACAAATAACCTCTTGCACCAAATGAAGCACCACTTGCTGATTGCAGACACTGCAGCTCACAGCGATGGTAATTCTGTCGCGTTTCACTTGCACGTGTGAGCTCATCTTCAAATGAGCTCGAGTCACAGCAATGCTCTCCATAATGCTGCCCTCCACTGTCTATGCTGCTGGAACATGGTTTATGTAAAAATACTACATTTTTAATTCTTATCAGTGTCACATCAGTCAAGGGTAAAATAAATTGCAAAAAGTATTTATAAGGATCACCACAGATAAAGGTGATGCAGATTGATCCTCTTCATTCCATGAAGAGAATTAAGAATGAAAGTAGCAAAGGAAGCAACAGTAGAAGGAACAATTTCTTCTCTTAGTATTTACTGATTTCTAATTTCTACTTGAAGCTGAGAACTCCAAATGAAGATGTATGAATCTGACACCAGCAAACTGAAATGAAGCCTCTCGCAATTCCTCAGCTCATGCTGGTTTGGTGGAGGGACTGAACACTCCCTCTGTTGGCTGAAGGCTCATTGCTCTTGCCTCAGATAGGAACTGGCAATTCAGCTTTGCTGTGGGATACACTGACCATGCAGAACAGAATCCAGTATCAGCAGCACAAGAACTAAGGAAGGATGCAACACTAGCAGGTTTTGCAATCACGTTTATATGACCCAATTACACAAGCTGACGGTGTTTTGCTCTAGGAAGAACTCCCACAGCTGATGCAGTAATTCTCTCATACTTTGAGGCTGTTAGAACAGGCCCAGAATTGCCACCAATATAACGTCCACCTTCTGCATAGTCATCACTGAACTCGCTTCCTTCCTTGTTTTGCAAGGATGCTGCAATCAGAAGCCAGCTCAGTTGTCTGTTACAGCTCACTGCCTTCCCCCCTCAGTCTGGACATGCTAAACCTGTGACAACCAGTGCCCCAAATACAGCCAACCTGAAATCCCACACTCCTTCCCTGACAAGGAGACTGTCCAACTACATTTCACAGAGAGACCTTTTGAAGAGACTATGTTTACAGTCTGGTGGTAAGAAAATAATTCAGAATAAAGTAATTTGCAAGTTACAGACAGAGCTGAATAACAGCTCTCCAAACTAACTAACCTCCAGTTACAAGATTAACTATTGAGAAGCTGCCCATAAACGTTGGCAGCTAATGTTAAAAATGAACAGTTGACTAATTTGGTCCAACTTGGAAAAGAAGAGATCTGAATGCTGCAAAAAAACCAATATAAACAGTTCCACCTGCAAAGAAAGTAAAAAACAGATGCAGTATGTCCCCTTCCCTCGTTCAAGAGTCTTACAAGTGCCTGCTGGATCTTCCAGCCTACAGATTCCTGTTTTAGTATCCTGTCAGGCAAAGAGATCACCCACACAAGACTTGCCTGCTTAAGATGATGAACTCCCAATAAATTCCAGTCCTTGTGGTTTTCCTCAACCCAAAGGAAGATGGGACAACTTCAAATCTTCTTAGCAAACAGGCACTTAAGTTACAAAAGATACCTCCTTTTTATTACAGAGAATTAAGGATCATGTAAGTGGTACTCCTGGCACAAAGGAGATGTTGCAAATACGCAGCACAGGTGCACAGGGAGCAGATACCAATCTGACACACGACAGGAGCCTTCACGGTGGCAAAACCATTTCTGTCGTTACCTGCCAAGCAATGATTAGTGCCACTCCTCTGACAGCACAGCAAATCAGAATCCAAGAGAAAGGGGACAAACATCACTTCTAGCTTTTACTCTAGAGGTAAAGTGTCATCTTTTTCACAGCATTTAGTCTCTATAGTTCACTTTTCTTGTGACTGGTTTTCTTCTTGAACAAACCCAGATAACACAGTGAGAAAAGAATCCCAGTACATCAAGAGACACAACTGCTCCATTAGCTGAGCAAGGAGGTAGATGCCATAGATGTTCTCTTCAGATGGAGCACAGAAAAGGACCTTGTGCTAATTAACTGGTACCAAGATTCTGGTCACTGGCACCAAAGTGCTGCAGGGCATCAGCATGAGACGCAATACAGTAGCATCGAGACTTGTCCAGCAGCTACATCTGAACCACGTATTCTTGGCATCTGGAACAGAAAGGCATCTCTAATTAGCTGCTGTCCAACCTTGTGATGGGTGTGCAGTGCAACAGTGTAGTACGCGTCCTGAACTGGTCTATCTGTTTTTAGAGTGATGAGCAAATTAGGTAACTGTTGAAAAGAATTTATTCAGTTGGGGAACTCAAATTTCATTACTTGCATTATTTTATTTGGTTAATCTTCTATCAGTGCACATGCCAGAGAAACACAGCTCAAGGCAAGCTGTGCAGAAGTCAGTCAATCAGCAGCAAACGGCAACTGCAGAATTGGACACGCTCTTCTTTCTAGTTCGGGTATTTCTTGTGTGCAGGACAAATTACACATTCTCCAAATAGTCCAAACAGTTTCCCAAAGGGAGGAAACATAGCAAAGAATGATACAGAAAATTACACAATTAGCAGTTCAGTGGAAATCCACAGGCTACAGCCAAAAGGTTAAAAGGTTGCAGTGAACAGAACTTCCTTTCCTTAAGCTTTGCTATCGACCTGGGGGGGGATTTTTTTTAATTTTTTTTTTTTTAAATAAGTCATTAATTGTAGGATCTAAATCTCTGGGTATCACTGTGTTGTATAACAGGGAAAAAAAACACACCTATAGCAGCCAGTATTTCTAAGCCATGCTCATCAACAACTGAAAGACATATAGACAAGGAGCCAATGAAGAACTTAAGTTACAGCTCACCTGATCACATCACAATGCAAGACAATCCCATACAGCCTTGATTCCCATCTTCGTTGCTGTTGAGCTTTTTCATTCGATACTGCCGGATCTCTCTCACCAGTGTGTAAAAAGCATCTTCCACACCCTGAATGCAAATGATCCAGGTAAAGTATTTTCTTTCCTGAAGCTTTTGAGATCACTGTTCTTTCCATCACAGGATCCCTCAATGTATTTGGAAGACATACTTCTACAGGAAGAGTGGTAGCCAACTTATCCCATAGTTCATAAGAGGAAGAAACTAGCACTCATGTCCACTTACACTCTTCCTCTGAGGCAAACATCCAGGGTAACAGCCGTTAAAAGAAACAAGGCAAATTGTAACTGTAGAGGGGTTCCATGCAGGAAACACACTACTTCTTGACTTGTCACCTCCCTTTTAGAATTTATTGGCTACTGCTTAACAACTGCACCTTTTCTGCTTCATTCCACACCGATGTGGGTAAAACAGAGGCTGACTGGACAGAGCCACCTATTCAGTGAAACTCTGAACAAGTCCATTAGTCCAGCCTAGGGAATTCTTTCTTTAAACATAATCATATAATTAGCCTTCATTAAGAAGCCAAGAAAACCAAACAGGTCTGGGATGACTAACTGCACAGTCTGACCACTTCTCAGCAAGAGCAGATGAAGCTTTTCTTACCAACACGACCCACTTGAGAGAAAGTCAACACAAGTCTGAAGTGACTCGTGCGCTGGCCTAGGCCAGCCATAAAACCAGAACTCTTTCAAGCTAAGAGCAAATGGGAAAATAAGAAGCTAAACATTGCAAATGGATTAGAAAGTGCTCACTCCTATAGATAAGAAAAAAATACATGGAAAAACATCAGACCATTCTGCACTTAGCACAGGAAGAAGCCAGACCAAGAACAGAAGCATCTTACCTGTCTTGTTTTAGCAGATGTCTCTATGAAGGGGATTCCGTAGCTTTTTGCTAATTCTTGAGCTTGTTTTGTGTCTACTGTTCTCGTGGGCAAATCACACTTATTCCCAACTAGCACCATTGGCACATCATCTGAATCTTTCACCCTCTTGATCTGTTCTCTTCAAAAACACAAATTTAAAAAGTTACGAACTATTTTTTAAATATAAAAGCTGCTTTAGTTCAGTTTTCAAACAAACCTGTGCTACAAAAATATATATTAAAGCCGGACAGGACCTCGGGGGTTCTAACCTACAGCAGCACGTCCAATAACTTTGTACACTCTGACTTCTAGTCCACGTTTAACTCCATTCTGATATACGTTTGCCTTCTTACCCGTTCTCTTAGAGGTCATGTTCTGAATGCTCTAAATATCATTTGATTAACGCAAGAACCCAGGTAACGGTCCCACTCTCAACTGACTAATAACGTACAGATACGGAACGCAGATAAGCTTGAAAAGCTTCCTGAAAGTAAATTCAACATTTGTCTATTGTTTAATCTTCACTGAGTCTAAGAGCAAATGGCTCTGATGCCACTCCAGTCTTCCCTCCCTACAGCAAATATCCAGGTCATACCTGTAGAGGTTAATATCAGCGAAGGATTTACTGTTGTTAATAGCAAACACACAGAGGAACCCTTCTCCAGTTCTCATGTACTGATCACGCATGGCACTGTACTCTTCCTGTCCTGCAGTGTCCAGGATGTCTAACAAGCACGTCTCTCCATCAATGACAACCTGTTTTCTATACGAATCCTGCAAAATACAAAAGCAACTTTTAAATTAGAGAAAAACATCGTGTTACTTCTTTCTACTGCAGGCATTAAGTAAAAATAAAAATAATAATAAAAGTATGATTGGGAGGAGCTTTTCTAACTCCCCCTGCAATGAAAAAACGCCGGTATCTGAACCCAACAGCGTTTAAAATGTTACTCTAAGTCCCTTCAACCTTTCTTTTTCAATTAGTAGACACAAAAATAAACACCGCAGCAGCGTGACCACAGTCTACAGCGACCGGTGGCGGCTGCTGCTGCCCGCGCTGGCGGCCCGCGCTCTGCTTTAGCGGGGAGCGGCAGGACACGCGAGGAGCCCTCGGAAGCGCGTCCCCGGGATTCACCCTGCGCGCTCCGATCTCATCCGGCCTTTGGAGCAGGGAAATAAATAAACCATCATCAGCCACCGCCCGTCGCGACCCGCACGGAGCCCCCGGCGCGGGGGGACCCGCACCCCG